TACATATATATATATACATATATATATACATATATATATATATATACATATATATATATACATATATATATATATAATGGAAAACACAAGGGAACACATGTACTCATTTCATTTATTGTTTTTCCCTTTAAAGATTTTAATTATAAATGTGAGAAAAATAAAAGAAAAAGACAAAAAATTCGCCCCCCTAGTACGCTGTACAAAGGTCCCACATACTTCATAACATTTTTAATAAGCACAAAAATACATATTTTATTTTCAATAATATGTATGTAGACACTACACTAAAATCCCTTTTATTTATTATGTACATCTATCTATTTATATTAAGTTAAATTATACATTTAAATTGTTAAACATATGTTTTGATGGATCACATTAATAAATAGGTATCTCCAACCCATTTTCTACATCTATATTCTTATATTATTATTTTTTTAAAGTCTATAATATTTATATACGATAAATGCAATAAATAAACTTACTACATTTTTCTCATCTTTAGTGAGGTTTGAACCTTTGACTTCATAAAAAGCCAAAGACTACGATACTGCTAGACCAAAGACCCTTTAGTTATATTCTTAATACCATTGTACATAGCTAATTAAAAAAAAATCATTCTCTACAAATCCCTTCCTAACCCTAATTTATATTATTTTTATTTTATTAATAATAAGAAAAAGTAAATTACATCCATTTAAGTACATAAAATATTACTGAAATAATCTATAATTATCAAAGTAGAGATAATATGGTTGGAATAATAGTTGTTAATTAAAGAACTCTTTACAAAATAACTTTCTTTATCAATTTAAGGGGTATATATTGCTAAATGCATATCTATTTATTACTTTCATCCTAGAATATATCAACATTAATATTTATTTTTTATATTTTTAATACATGATTTGAACTGATTTTGACTTAAGTACGTGGGCATATAGCAACACCATAATTTACATGTATGAAGTATGATTAGAGATTCTCTAAGACATTAAAAATATATGAATATCATAATAAACTGATTTATAAGATTTTAAATTTAAAAGATCAAAAAAATTATGTGTCATATGCAAAAGTATCATGATAAGTTTGTATGATCTTTTAAGGGGTGTTTGGTTCGAATAACGGAACTCGATAGGGTTGGAATCTATCAAAGAGATTTGACTTGGAAAGAATTAAAATGGAATTTGACGTGTTTGGTTGGGATGGAATTGGAAAATAATTATTAAAGAAATTGGAATCTCTGAAATATCCCGTGGAATGATGAAATATTTAATCTAAGGAATTCAATGGAATTCAAATGATTCCTATACATTTTTAAGATCGAGTTTATAAGACACTCTCAAATTTTAAATGTCCTAATAGACCTCTTTATAGGACTTAGTTTATAGGATCAAAACAAATACAGTGTCATATCTAAAGGTGTTATAATAAGTTTATATGACGTTTTTTAACGTTGTAATAAGTTTTTTACGACATTTTTAATATAAAGTGTCATATTATCAACTTTATAGGACACTATTTGAAATATTGTCTTATAAAAACAAGTGTCTTATAAAAAATGAGTTTATAGGACACTTTCTCAAAAGTGTCCTATAAATTTGCTAATACAACATTTTGTATTAAAAATATCCTAAAAAACTTGTTAAGACGTCCAAAAGCGTCATATAAACTTATTACAACATCTTTAGATATGACACTTTATATTTTGGTCCTATAAATTAAGTCTTATAGAGAGGTCTATTGGGACACTTAGAGATTAGGGATGTCCTATAAACTCAATTTTGTTATAGTGTACACAAAGAGTATGGATGGGAAAGAAAGTATATTTCCTACACGCATGATTCATTTCCATCCCTAAATGAAAGTTACGAACATATTGATTAAGTCATGCATAAATACTTGATTATATACAGTTTACTAAATAAACCGTTCACCCATTAAGTCCATTAAATCTTAATCCTATATACACCATCTTAGTCGTCTGTATTTACTATCGTTTTTAATGATTAACAAATATAAGCATTTTTCAGTGTAATGTATAATATAATTGCATCCTTAAAACACAAAAGATTCTTCTGTGTCATTTGATTTTAATCATATATTATTATTTATATAAACTTATTAACTAAAAAACTCTATTACAAGAAAAGTATGAAGAAAAAAAATGATGATATGATATCAATTTTCAGCTTGTATTTAAAATAAAATTTGAATTTTGATTTTTAAGCACAAATGAATATAATTCATGGGGTTATTTTTTACTTACCCAGGATTATAATGTATATGATTTGAGTGTTTTTTAATTATTATAAAACTTGATAAAAATGTTGAAACCAAACAAATTATGTTGAAAATTTAAATATCTTCATAATAAATTTATTAATTTTTTTTTATTTAGTTTATTCAATATCTAAAATATTTGATCAAAACTCAAAACTTTATTAAACTCTACTTGTTAAAGTAAAAAAATATATATATTAAATGAAATAGGTTCATACGAGAATGATAACTCAATAAGAAAATATGAGAATTGGAATAATTATTTATTTGAATCATACCTTAATTAAAACTTTTCTTTAAAAATTGTCCAAAAAGACATGTGTCATTTGTTGCATACGGATTATATATAAAAATTCATATAGTTTTTAAATGTTATTTATAGCAATTGGTTATATTTTTTTTTACAATTTTCGTGATTTAAGCATGATTAATTTTTTAATTTTTTATTTTTTATTTGTAATGACATTTAAAATAAGTGTGAATTAATTTTTCATTTAAAATATTTACTTTTATGGAATTAATTTATTTAAGATTTTTTTTCAATTTTCGTCAAAAATCGCATGTAATATACACAATTAATCGATATTCTTTTAACTAAAAATCATTAGCTTTCATCAAAGTATCATATATGATATTGATCAGAGTAAACTGAGGTCTGAAAAAAAAAAATTAAGTTACCTACAACATTACATGTAATATTATATTTGTAAATTATAAATTATGTTTTGAAATATATCTGATTCTGATCTTATACAATTAGTTGTGTTCTATTACATATCACATGTGATTATGTTTTCATTATTTTTATTTTTCAATGATTAATTTAAATCACATGTGATTAGGAAAAAATTGAAAAGAAAAATCAATTAATTGTGAATCAATGTGTTTTTGACTAAAATTGTATTTTTTTTTTAAATGTTGCCTTAAATAAAAGAAAATTATTTTAAATGAAAATTAAATAAGCTTATTTTAAATGAATTAAACAGAAAAAGATTAAATAAAAAGTCACTTCATATTAAATCGTAAATATGATAAAAGTAGAATCACAAATAAATTCCTTAGATAACTTTCATATAAGTAAATATTTTTATGCATTTATTTATTTATTTTTGAAATTATTTTATTAATTATGTGATGCGTATTCATTTTTTTAATTGATTAATATTCTTATATGAACTCGATTCTATATCAAATCAAATAGTATTTAATAATTATTATTTTTAAATTAGGTAATAATGTAGCAAACTCATATTAATAGATAATTTAAACAAATTTAAAATAGAAACGGTTTAAGAACCAATATACCATTTTGGCATTTTCTTCAAACGTATGGTTCAAAAAGAATATTTCTTAAATTAGATATATAAAATCTACACTATTTATTACTAATAAAAAAAATTGTATACACACATTCTTTGCAAATAATAATACATTTGATTTTGTTTTATTTGATTAATTTTGTTCTTTTTTATAGAAAAATATAATAAAATTTCACCGAATAAATATTTTCTCTTTTTGATATTGTTTTTATTTCAATTTCTTATTTTATTTTACCTTGCAAATTAATTATATAATTTAATGAATTGAACAATAAAAATATATCATATTTTGATGATAATTATTTTAAATCAGTTATGTCTTTTTGCTCATCATATAGATATTTTTGTCCCTACAAAATACATATTTGTCGTTATTCATGCATTATATCAATCATATATTGAAAGTAAAATAGCTTTCACCATCAAATTATTTTAAAATGAATATTAATTTTTTAAACACGATCGTTGATTTAATAATCCAGAATTAAATAACTATTAATTAATGTATTTGACCTTATTTATATTTGATATTTAATTCAACAAATTAATTTATCTAGGGAAGCCCTAGTCCCTTGTTATTGTTGGGTAGCCTGCAAGGAAAAACAACAATCAAACCACCCAATACCCATTAACATTAATAAACATATCAACCATGAACCCGGTTTACCATGAACCGGTACCACCTCCACCTCTGTTTGGTCTGTTTCAACATGCCCACCGGTTCATTTCATATGATATTTCTTAGGATTCAACATTTAATTGCTCAACTAATTTTTTAACATCCACATTTAAATTTTGATTTTGCAAGACGGGTGGAAAAGCCTGTTTGTCTCTCGACACAGAGAGAGATATATACAAGTTGTCTACATACAATTTAGTCCTAAACCCTATCTCCGATGAAATATATTTAATATAATTGGTTTTGTTTACATCTAGATTTTGAGAAGGTTTTCTTGATTCAAAATTGGTACGACTTGTTATATATGATGGGTGAGTCGAATACAAGATCTCACGCTTTTGGCGTGTAGGTACATGTTTGTACTTGATCATCTTGTATAATGTTGTTGAAGTAATTATGGTATATGTATGTGTAACTAAATAGGAAATAACCCAATGTTACAAAACACAAATCCATCAAGAATACGTGTATAATTAGGTCAATTGATTTCGACACAAATGTGTCTTGGGTTCATTTTTGGATACAATGGTAGAAAGACCGAAAATAAGTTATGATGGCTTAAATAAATGGCTGGTTCGACCGGTGTGTATGCGCCGGTCTAGGTGCATGGACGAGCTAGGGCCCGCAGGCACTATCTGAACCTACCTTTTGCTATAATGCCTTTGCCCTTAGCTCTTTGGATCCTATCCCATTTTCCCCCTTTCTAATTTCCCCCTTCTCTCTCCCCCAGATATATACACATAATATATGTATATATGTTTCTTGATCTCTTTCTTCATCTATAAATAGAAAGGACTTGTAGCAAGCAACACTGTAGTGATCACAGTAACTTGACACAAAAAGATTTGAAGTTCTCTTCATTTTGTTAGCTCTCTCTCCCTTGAGCGGTTCTTGTAGAGAGATTATCTTGGATCATCAATAAATTAAAGAGAGCGATGTCAAGTAGCAGCTGCATAGATGTAGCAGCAGCATCCGAGCAACTGTGTTATATCCCTTGTAACTTTTGCAATATTGTTCTTGCGGTACACACTCTATCTCTGTGATATTATATGTGTTTGGTGTTGTGTGTGTGTGTGTGTGTATATATATATATAGAGAGAGAGAGAGAGAGAGAGAGAGTTGGGAAGAAGAAGAAGAAGAAGAAGAAGAAGAAGAATTCTTGCATATTTCGAGGGATCTTGAAATGATAACAGATGCTGAGTAACATATGGGCCTTTGGTTGAGATCAGATTAATTCATCGATCCTACTGAAAGCAACCAATTTGATCCATTTGAAATCAAGTTTTAATTTCTTTTTCACTTTGGATACACAGACAAACTTGTAGAGTCAAGTCTCCATCGTTTGAGGCTTTCCTTTTCTTATTTCTTCTTCAGCTAGCAGTCAAAAGAAAAAGTTCTTCATAATATCTGAAGTCTATCCCTCTCTCTCTCTCTTTCTCACCCACACACACACACACACACAGAGAGAACTAAGGACGGTACTTGTATGATTAGTAACAAGGACAAAACCCATTCGATTCTTTTATTTTTCTTATGGAGGTTTTCCGTTATCAAATTACACACCAATTGATTTCGAATATCGAACAAATTAAAGGGCAATTAGCAATTAGCATTTAGCACCCCCAAACGTAATTGCATGGGCGACCAGTACTGTTAATTACTACCAAAAAGCTAGGGTTTTGTGGTTCAATCAAGATTATATATATACATATACTTTTTTGGTAAAGAAGATTATATATCTATGGTCAAGAAACAGATTGAGAAAAGGTTCTTCCTCCATTGATTCAAGCTGTTTTCCCATGTTGTATCTTTGATTTCTTGGTTCCTTTATAATTATGGCGTCTTGATTCTAATCTGTTTTTAGAGCTGTACCTCTTGTAATTGGGTTGGGCCGTTGAGAGCATTCGATCTCTGGCATCCCTAAATCAGCTCTTCAGCTGAACGTTTTCAACACAATCTTGGTTGTTACTTCAATGTCGTTTTCTAGGGTTGTTGATCATAAAAGTTATAATCTGGAACCCTAATTAATTATAGCTTTATTTTATACTTGAAGGACCGATTTGCTTTCTTGTTTGAGTTTCTGAAATGGGTAATCTTGATTTGGAGCTAATAATTGATGTATGGTGAAAATGCAGGTGAGTGTACCATGCAGCAGCTTGTTTGACATAGTGACAGTAAGATGTGGACACTGCACCAATCTGTGGTCTGTGAATATGGGCATGGCTGCTGCGTTTCACCAGTCTCTCTCAAATTCCAATTCCACCTCCCAAGATTCTACTTCTCATCAGCACGGCCAGGTGACCATTATTTCTTTAATTAATTATACTATAACCCTAGTTCAGATCGACCTTCTTTATCATTAATCAAGAATTCTTTTTCAAGAATGTTAATTTCAACTTCAAAGATCAATAAAGATGCTAATAAGTCAGGCCACCCTTGATTTTGAAATGAGTGATGAAATTAAAACGACTCTATATATCTCTTGAAAATGCAAGTACGACCTTCAATTTTTCATCAAAATTAGTATAAAACTGTTGAGTGTGTATATAAGATGCATTGTTTCTTGATTTCTTGATAAAAAGAAAGCTATTTATAAGACAAACCGAACACCATGACTTTTGGAATTTAAGGTAATTATAGTCCCTTTTCTATCTTGCTAACAGATACGAACTGGAACAGTAATTAGTTGACTAATGACTTTCAAAAGTCAAAAACACAAATTGCGGACTGGTGAATCTAAATGCAAGTGTTCATCAGACTAGGGTTTGTAGGTTTCAATTTTTTCATTAAAACTTTGTACTTTTTGAGGAAATGATCAGAAGTGTTGTAGATAGGGATCTACTTACTCTAGGTCATACATAGGATAATCTAAAGACCACACACAATCAGTCTGTTTTTCTTTTCTTTCTTGTTCTCACTTCTTTTTACTGTTACATCATAGATCCAAGAACCCTAACAGCCGTTTTCCATAGGGTTCATGTTTGCGGCCAACATCTGTATAAATGCGTCAGTGATTCTCTCTTTATTAAATGATCATTTTCTCGATCTACATAATATAACCTGGAAATCCTTTTTTCTTGTTTTTAATTAGTTTCTTTAATTTGATTTAAAACCCCCAAGTAGTTTTAAAGATTCTTTCTTTAAGGTTTCTTGTTATGTTTTCTTGACATCAAGGTTTTGTCGTTTTCTTCTGCAACCCCACCCCCTCTCTCTCTCTCTCTCTCTATATATATATATAAGATATATATATATATATATATGTGTGTGTGTGTGTGTGTGTGAGCTTAAAGACATGGTAGATATGTTTGGGACAAGATTGCCAGCAAGTGTCATTCAATTCTGTGGTGTTTTAACTTTTACTTTTGCATCCAACTGATTCAGTCACTTCAATGTTGTTAGTTCAGTTTCTTTTTGTTGTTTCTTGTTTAAGTACATCACTCAAACGGGTACCATCCAAAGTAAATAACAAGATTAGGTTATAAGACGGAAAGCCCCGATGTGATGTGCGATCGAATGTGGTATGAGATTTCAAATTTGACTTCCATTATGTGCTAACAATTTAGTTAAGATCATGTTTATTGACTGAAAAAACACTAATTTGTTTAACTCATCTAGAGAGCACAATTTGCATGAACTAATAACTACACCAAATATCTCAAAAACAAGATTAGAGTAGTAAAAAGTTTCGACTCCAGATGAATTGTTTAAAATGTCCGCTTTCGGGCTTTGGGGTTTCGTATGAATGAAGAGGGTCTATGAGAGTAGAAAGGGTAGAAGTGCCTTTTTATTCTATAAAGACAAACGTATACCGTGCTATGTGACTACAGACCTCGGGTACAAACAACAGCTACATCTGTGTGTAGCACATTTCATGAATTGATGAAATTTTCAAATGTCATGGTGATATCTTAATCAATTTCACACAAAAGGGTTATGCTCGTAGTGTTCGATCATGTCAATGAGCTAGGGTTCTTTTAATGCACATATAATTGTAGGTGCATTAATTAAAATTCATTGTTAATGCATAAATAAACCTGTAAGACTGAAAGTTTCTAGTGTTACCAAAAGAGTAGTTATTTTGTAGTAAAAGTGAACAGTTTGCTGGTTGAAATCATAAGAAATTTCAAACTTGACCACCTTTCAACAAAATATTGCTATAGAAAACCAGTTTGCTAATTATAGATATTTAAAAAAAACCATGAACTTGTTGAAGAAAAAGAAGCTATTTACATGAGCTTAGTTATCACAAGGCTGATTCTTGAAATTTCAGCAGGCTCCCAACCACACTGCTTCGAATTATCGAGTTGATTTGGGTTCCTCTTCGAAGTACAACAGCAGGATGCCGATGAGGCCATCTCCAGCTTCGATTACCAGTGAACAAAAGATCAATCACCGTGAGTTGATTCGCTTCCTTCCCATCCTTTTTTTTTCCAGAAACAGAAGTTCCACAAAAGTTCAAGATTGTGCAACTGAAACACCTATATTCATACCAAATTGGTTTTTAGATTAAACTATGGCACATTCAATTTCAGTAACCATTTTCATTACAAGATTCATGGTACTGCAAATGTAATTCATACCAACAATTTGATTTTTTTCAGCTCCAGAAAAGAGGCAACGAGTTCCTTCTGCATATAACCAGTTCATAAAGTAACAAATCCCTCTCTTTGTTTTCAATGAATAACACCATTAAGATTTTGTTTTATAAATGTGATGTGGGGATGTATAGGGAAGAGATCCAGAGGATTAAGGCGAATAATCCAGATATCAGCCATAGGGAAGCTTTTAGCACTGCTGCAAAAAATGTAAGTGCGCATGGTAGCAATTTTCTGGCTACTCTTACTTTATTTGCCTTTGTTTGGTGGCTTTCACAATGTCAAGTACGTGTACACATAAACAATTCATATTTATACATTTGTGGGTGTGATTTGAATTTGACACTCTAAATTCTCTTGTGAAATAGTGGGCACATTTTCCTCACATTCATTTTGGGTTGATGTTGGAAGCTAATAATCACCAAACCAAACTTGATGAGGTACTTCATGCTTAATTTCTCTCACTTTCATTTATTACATTATATTTAATTATACATACATACATATATATACACATATATGTATATATATACATATACATATATATGTATATGTATATGTACGTGTGTGTAGATCTTAATTGAAAATTAAGTGGATTTAAATACCGAAATAATAATTAAGGAAAGTTAAAAATGTGTTTCTCTTTTTATAAATCGTTGAAAACTATCAAAAAAAAAAAGTAGAGGGTTTATTTCTCGAAAACTAATGAATACTTGAATTTGTGTATTTAGTTGAGCTGTGTGCAGGGATCGGAGAAGCGACTAAGATCAAGGGCTGCGTTATTCAAGAAATGATCAGAAAGCTTGATTTTAAGAAGAAACTAAAACCAAGCGAACCCTCCACCGATCTTCTATATATATTTATATTTTGAGCTTCAAGAAAACTATGGCCTTAATTATAACTTGTTTTTCAGGGCATAAATTAATATTTGGATATTTTCAAATTGTATTTTACAATCATTTGAGTGATGTTATTTGTGTATTTTAATTTGTTTTCAAGAACTAAGCTACTTTGGCTTGCCTTAAATAATTCATCCACCATATTTTCATATTCTTGTGTAAATATATATTCATGATATTACAAAAATTGCTTCCTAACATGATTGATCAAGCATCCATCGTATACATATATTTACTTACATACGGAGATGATATATATATATATATATATAGAGAGAGAGAGAGAGAGAGGGAGAGAGAGAGACGAAAAATCTTGTGAGAATAGAAGTTAAGCTAAGAAGTGTAAGAAGAGATCTGGACGATTTGATAACTTTTAATCTCACCACATCCATGAATTACGCTTATCATGGGAACTAGTCGAGATTTCTTCTTAACTTTCTCACCGTAGCTTCCATTTTCACTAGAACCCAACTTTATATATATATATATATATATATATATATAAACCAATCTAGAGATTGAGGAACCAGTTCAATAATCGCAACTTCAATCATTTTAATCATCGTTACGTATGAATCATTATTTTTACAAACAATATGATAATACGAAGAAGAATAAGATTAAAGTTTATTTGTAAGAAAATGCAAAAAAATAACACTATGTTTAAGATGAAACGATTTTATAGATCGTTGAAATGTTAATGTGAAGAAAACCATCGTACTTTGACGCATTTTTTCCTCAAATAGTTTAACTTTTGTCGAGTACGATACGGCGCTTACGTCATTTTCATGAAAACGACAGCCTTAATTGGCTTATAACAAAAAAATCATAATATCGTTACCGAAAAGTTACATCTTTCAAATATTAAAAACTTCTAGTAAACAAAAACCCAAGAGAAAACCAACCTAATTTTGCATTGATTACACAAAAAATAACACATAATTAGGACTCACTTTTAATTATTAAGACCCCTCATTCAGACTTTGCTAAATTAAGCTATCTTGAGACGTTAATAACAAAATGAAAGAAACAAACACGAATAAATATGAATTCATCGAACACAATGGCGTGTTTGATCTCTCATGTACCCACATATACATAGATACGGTATCACAGTCTGTGTTATCTTTATATGCTAGCTTAGTACATACAGCTATCACATGGTTTATTAAGTGTTCGATAGCTGGTTCTTTTAAACAAGAGGCAACAAATTGATGAAATTAAATGCAAAAAAATGATCAAAAACGAAAAAGGAGAGGCAATATTATTGTGTCCTTGAGACATAAAAGGTGAAGGTACATTTTTTTATGAATTTAGAAGGTATATATAGCAGTTGCAAGTTTTAAGAGATTTAATTATTGTATTCATATATCAGTTGTCACCTTCTTCCAAAGTCTTGACAACAGTACTTGCTTCCATGAGTCATGTTCAATGGCCTTGCTATATTTAGTAAGTGAAGCCATAGCCATTGATTCTTGATAATGTGTATTTCATTCAAGACTTTCTTTTTGTTGGGAGTTTAAAAAAAATTAAAGGGTCTTAGTTTTCTTTTGTCATTGTTATAAATTATCGAAACAAAGAACAGTTAGTACGTTAATTGTTAAACGTAAATTGCTTGTATCATTCTCGGAAGAAAAAACGCCAAAAAGAGAACTTGAAACTTTTGTAACAACGGAAGAATATATATTTTAAAAAGTTGAAACTTTTTTGGTTAAAAATATTTGGTTTTTTTTTGTTCTCAAGTATGCGTAACGACTGTCTGTTTATTATGCACATATTCGACCCCCTTTTTGCATAATAATTGATTTTCTTAACATAGAAAATCACAAAGTTAGAACACATATTTACATATGCACTTGCTTTAATTTTATGAAACAACATAAGTAGCCGAAATTCATTTTGTCTATTTACTTTAATCATGTGTACATGTTGTGAAAATATGTGAAATCCCTTGTATTACACTCTAAATGAGTCAATATGGAGCGACATATATGTTGGTAAGAGGTCTTAACTTTGCACATATATCCCGGAACCCAAGAATCCAAGATTTTTATAAACAGTATATATGTAGATTGGTAAATCAGTTTATAATCTTTAACTTTCAGTTCAACGCACAAGTATGATTATGCATATCATTTGAACACGAGCTTACAATTATCACAATAAGGAAACATATAAATGGTTTCTCGTCCATTGAGTACAAGCAAGACGTGGAAACGCATCCCTACCGATAAAGAAGTGTGTGTCTCCATCATCATACATGATGTGTGTGTGTATATATATACATGTATATTGTAATACTTTTTTTATTAACCTAGATATCCAACCCACTATACGAGCCGACTAATCTTAGGGCGACCACCTACAAATGCTTTGCAGATAGTTCGGAGTCACCGCATTTGAACATTTATGGCCACAAGAAGATTTTTATTCCTATTTTGATTTGAAACTGGGACCTGCTGACACTTTTGACCTTTAAAGTCAAGCTCAAACCAATCAGACACCACCCTTGTGGTTTATATTGTAATAGTTTAGTGCAACATATGTAGTATTGATGGAAAAAGAATAATTAATAAGGTGTAAATTAAGGGTGGAAATGAGCATATCTATTAAAAGAGTATTTGTGTCCAAATGTAGATATGTAGACCATAAAGCTAATGAACAACAATCTAAGGTCTTTGATAAAAGAGAACCCTTTTTGGTTTTGGACCACATTCTTAGTAATCTTTTGTAACTCATGATTCTTCCTCCACCAAACAACTTTTGCAGTTGATACAATCAATGGCTTCAAGCTTTGATTTGTATTGGTGTCATAAATTAAAGAAAAAAGGGTTTAAATATTGAATGAAGTGGTCCAAGAAATGGCGTTCATCACCATCTCAAGTGGCTTTCCAATCAACTCCTTACCTATGTGGAAAACAACATGATTTTTGAGATAAAGATATTGCATTTTCACTTTTGGCATAATTAGGGTTTGAATTAATTATGTTGTTTTTTTGGATTCGAGTCTTTCTATGTTCAAATCTATCATAGTGTTTTTCAAACTAAAGTTATATTATATATATATAGAGAGAGAGAGAGAGAGAGAGAGTTGGGTTCACGTGAGACCAAAGGTTTTTCATGAGACCCATAAGAACAATTTATGTTCATTAATCAACTTTATAAACTAATGGTCTAAAGTTGTACAGTGACAATTTTATGATTATTGAGAAGTCTCGTGACAATTTTGTGATTATTGAGAAGTCTCGTGACAATTTTGTGATTATAAATGTTCAGATTGTAGATCTAATCCAATAGTTTCCATATATATATATATATATGTATATATATATATATATATATCGGGTTATGTATGTTGATTATAACTTCATGTTGTTAGCAAACTAGCGTTTTAAAGATATATATAACTTTATAGTTCTGTTAAAATCAATTAAAAAGGATCTTTGTTTTTATCTCGATTTGTCTGGACAATCAAAAAGCAATTGTTTTTATGGCTTTAAGAAACAAATCCAAGAATAAAAATGGTAAGTTAGGAGAATGTTTGACTTAATTATGCCATAAATAACAACAAGAGGCATATGCCACAGACAAATTAGTTGATTTTGTATCTTTTTTTGTTAAGATATAGTTGCATACTTAAAAATGTGTAAAATTATAAAATACATGTTTCACATTTAGAGGTTATAAAATATCACATAAAGATGATATTTTTCATTTATATAAAGCTTTATTGAAATTTAATTATAAAATTTTAAAAAATAAAATCTAGTTATAAGGATCATTTAGAGGTTGTTTGACAATTGCTGAATGGTTTGGTGCATAATGATTAATAGGCTCTCATGATATAATACAAAATGAAATATAACTGTTTGGTAATTCTTTACCATGAAATTAAAACGTTGAATGGTTAAGGTAGACCCAAGATATAAAACCATCCACATGGTCTAAAGAACCATTAAAAAACAGATTTTTTTTGTCAAACAAGATTCATCTCTTAATAAAATTATTAAGAGGTAAACAAATAATCTCTTAGTTATTGATAATAATTTCAAATTTACTTTCAAGCTATATATAAGTATAAAATTATAAGTTGTATTTTTTGGAGATGAATAAAAATAGTATTTTTAATTTAGTAAGTTAAATATATAAATAAAGTGTAACCTTATCATATATTTCTTTGTCTTATCTAATAAATACTTGACGTTTTTTTATTGTAATAAAAAGAAGATAACATTTTATGATATTTTTTCATCGATTTTTGGTAAAACACTAAATATCGTTTCTTAATTTTATAATCTTTTTATATTTAAAATAAGGTTTTAAATCAAAGAAATTTATTTTGATTATTGAAAATAATGGAAGGTTTTCATTTTGAAAAATATACTTTTAGAACACAAGTCTCCACATAGATAATTAAGTACATGTTCTTTACACACACATATATATTATAAGGGTACTCGCGCAATGCAGCGAAATAATTTTTGATTTTAGTATTTAATTTTATTATTTGTCTCTATCGATATAATACGATTTTATGTGATTTTAAGAAAACGATAATGTTTTTATTTTTGAATGAAATATAAATTTGAAAATAAATAAATAGATATTAGTATCAAATTAACTATCTAATAGATCTCGTTTTTTTGGTGTAACTTCTTTAATTCAAATTTTTTATTATAATTTAATTTGATTTTTTAACAAAGTAATTTATTTTTGGTTTAACAATATAACTTTTTTACAAAGATAATAACTAAACATTCTGTTAGAACTCAATGATTATTTTAATTATATTTTTGATTTTCTATATTTAAAATGGATGTTTATTATGTATTTGATTATGTTTATCCGCAGTTAGTTACACGAATTAAAAAATGGAGCTTTAATAAGTTGTACTTACGTAAAATTACCTGTAATCTTGAATTTTAAGTAATATGCATCAATAAAGAATACTTCATGCATAAAAATTTATTTTTAAGAGTTTTGTCAAATATTTTATAATATAGTATATATATATATATATATATATATATATATATATAACCGAATGATCGTGTGAGAAATGAAATTATGGTGACACTACAATAAAATTGAGTTTATTGGATACCCCCAATCTCTAAGCGTCTCAATAGACCGCTTTATAGAACTTAATTTATAGGACCAAAATATAAAGCGTCATAT